CCGTCCCAACTTATAATAGTAATATTTTGAAAAAGGGTATACATTTCATCTAACAATGTTTGCTGCGCTTCAGTAACCATAAATGCTTGAAAATTACTTAAATTGTTTGAATTTAATAGATCAAAAAATTGTTCATTTTTAAAATAAAATTTGCTGTGGTAGATGCTTCTTTAGGTAAAACATTAAATTCTATATAAGTATGCATAGCTTCCCCTACGGAATGACTAAAAACTTGTGATGCCAATTTCACTTCCATCTTTTGAAAATTGTTGAGGTACATATGGTCATTGGTTAATCGAGGAGCAAGTTTAAATTGTCTAGTTTTATCTATATTAATCATCATTTCTAAATATTTCTTTCTTGCTTTTCCTTCAGGCGAAAAAAAATATAAATGAAAAAAATATTTCTTGTTCACTTCAACAAGTGTGGTATGTCAAATAAATAAACTATACTTGACGCGTTTGGAAGACGGAGTAATAAACACATTAATCAGCCGAAGTCCACCCGGGGTGTAAACGAGTCGCCGATATCACTCACTCCCCATTGGCCAGCCTAAAAGTTGATACTCTGTGAATGGTTTTGAGTAATTGTAGGCGATGTGCGAAATTTCTATCGATCGAATCGATCATTGTACAGGATTTTGCCGTACAGGGGTAGGGATATTTTGGAACCGCCTGACATTTTTATTACTCCGTCTTCCAAACGCGCCAAGTATAGCTTCGTTTCATCAACGAAAAATGAGGGATTATCTTCTGTTAGTTTAAAAGTGCTTTTGATCGATTGGTAAAAATTTGAACCTTGGTCAGATACCACACCAAGCACATTCAGTCCATTATCACGTAATTTACGCGTACATTCAAATATAATGTCCTTAATATCATCACCACTTGGAGAAGTTGGGTAAAAAAATAAGCTAGCGGCTGTTTCCATCTGCCTGCTATACCTCTAGCCATTAATGTTAAAGCGCTTCCTGCAACTTTTGAAGTGCCGTTATTGCTATTTTGAAAACCAATAATTGTGTCCTTTGAAATATCGTAAAATAAATGCCATTTTAGAGACATTTCGTCGAGACATAATAGACAATCTTTTTGTTTTTTTTTTTCATTCTACATTCAATAACTTTAAAAATAAAATCATTAAAATGTATAAAATGTAATGTATAAAATCACTAATGTAGCCTTTAAGGGTAATCTGAGTAATGTTGACATTTTTTGTAGGCCTTTGTTCCCAGATAATAGATACTTAAAGCAAACTGCCTATACTTGGTAGTATACCTGGACCGTTTTGGTGCCTTATTTAACAAATATAATTGATTTTTTAAGAATTTTAAGTTTTTTAAGACACGATTCTTTTGAATATTTGTTATCTAAAAACTTGACAACATCTTCCAAGGTCATCTCAGTTTCCAGATTGTTTCTACATTTGTGAGTACATATTGTTCTGTCCAGTGTTTTGACAGACTCATTTAATGCTCGCTTTCCAGGTGAATTTTCGAAAAGCTTTAGCGTCGTTTGGGAGAAGAACCTAAAAATTTAATATTGGTAATTGTACGAGTGATCCACAAAAATCTAAAGTAATTATTTCAGTTTTGGGGGTTGTTATTTAAAAGGCATGTTCCTCTTACCTTTATGATTTGAGTAATCAAAATATTCGAGGGACATGGTTTGAACACTAGCATCATTGGTTCTTAAATTTTTTTCCCGCTTCAAACTGATCAGCATTGTTGTCGCTATTGCTTGTTACCACCATGTCATGGACTGATGTATTTGTGTGAATGTTGTCTATAAATGTAAGAAATAGTTTCATTAAAAATTATTTTGTTTACAGTTTAAAATCTACCTTTTCGAATTGAATCGACTGTTAATCTCAAAGATGGAATAGCATAACTATGGACACGACTTCTAGAAGAGTTGGCAAAACTATCTTCATTAAAGTGCAAAGCGCAAAATCTAATACAGCTGTGACATTGTTCTGGCGTTAAATTAGAGTACTTATGGGATCCTGTAAATCCTAGAGCATTTTTCCAAATTTGGCATCTAAAATAGTATAGTTCAATACCAGTCCAGAAAGTAGACTTTCGAAAAATATTTTGATGAGTCATTGATGAGTCAAATTAATAACTTACATAACAAACAAAAAAGGGTTGTATTTGAAGAATGCTGATATAAAACTAACAGTTGTTGTTTACTGATGTTTAATTTTTTTTAAACATTTCTCAATTGTTTTCAATTTTTTTAGCATTTTTAAGCCCATCTTCTATGCGCTAAACATTCACGTAAAGATAATATTTTCAGAGAGGTGTAATAAACAGTAAATAGCTTATTATTTCATTTGTAATTAATTATAAACATCTTAAGGAGGTTTAAATAATGAAATATTTTTAAAATAAACGCTGTAACATCACAAAATTCGATTTTTTTAAACGGCGAGGTTTTGGTATAAAAAACCTTTATGAAACTTACGTTTATATTCATCGTACAAATAAAAATCATCGTAAAAATGAAATAATAAATAGGGCATTGCATTAAAAAAATGTAAGTTTTAGTAATATCTCCTTCTTGGGACAACCTGTGTAAACACTCACAGTTTTTTCTGACCCGCTTTTTTAAATAAAAATCGACATGTCCGAGCTTTTCTTCCCAATAGACAAATCAAGCATTTACCGAATTTGTTTACCAACCTTTACGCTCTCACTGTATAATAAAAACGAAAGAACCAAAATATAAAATTTCAAATAGATATTTTGTAATTAAGAGTTACGACTAATATTCTGTCGGCGTGCAAGTCTCCTGTACGGATTAAAGCAACCCTCTATTAGGACAGGTAAAAATATTAACCGGGCGTGCTAGTGACCAATCATCGCGCCATTTTTTCTTTGAGCGATCAGGTAACGATTCAGATGGCGCGAATGAACGCTTGTTTTGACAATTTCGCTACCTGAGCGCCCAAGGAGAAGCCTATATACCTTTGGGAGCGAAATATTTTTACGCTCATCGCTCACTGATCAGTGATCACTTCATTTCAAAGTGGCATTTAGTAAGGTTCGGTCGTGGGTTTCCAAACTAATACCTATCAGTATTTTTGGGTTATGTTTTGTAGATATTGAATAGTTTTAGTTGTTTTTTGAATAGATTGGTTGTTTCGGATTAGTTTAAGTTGCTTTTGAAGAGTCGGCCGTGTCGTGGGAGTATTTTGATGAGATGGATGAAATATTTCATGTTGATAAAATTGTTCGAATACCATCAACACTGAGTTCCTCAACTTTTGGACAACAAAACATCCAACGGGTGAGTCTGACGGAGGAGGCGCAACAGACTAGGCCTGCATCTGACCTGGACAGCTCGAGCAGGGACCTTCAAAGACCGGGCAGTTCTAGGGGTGAAGAGAGATCGGATAGGTCCAGTCTCAGAAGGGAGACTCCACGAAGAAGGAGGGACACTTACCTCAACACGCTGAGGATAAAACAAGTGGAAATAGAAACGGCACGAGTGGACGAGTTAAAAAGAATTAGAATTGCAATGGAAGCAAACAACATAATTCAAAGAGAGAGAAATGAAATTTTAAAACAAAAAAATGAAATTTTAAAACAAAAAAATGAAATATTAACAAAAATGGAAGATAAAATTAAAAAATAAATTTTAAAAAGTTTTTAAATAAATTTATTTATAATAATATATAATTTCTTTTATTTATCGCAGCATTACCCACTTCTGCCATATTTTAGCCTAAAAATGGAAGAGAATTGTATGAACAAATAAATTTGAATAAAGGTTTTGAAATATATTTATTTTTAGTAACGTTGTAATATAATTCCTTTTATGTATCGCAGCATTACCCATTTCTGCCATATTTTCTTGGTCATCAGCCTCTAGAAAATCATTCTCATATTCAATTTCTTGATTCATGCTGTTTTCGTTCTCTATTATTAAAAAGTTGTGCAGAATACAAGCTGTCGCAATGATGTTGTGGCCAGGATACATCCAAATATTTCTGTCTCATAAATTTTCCCTTCAGCATTCCAAAAGAACGTTCTATTATGGACTTAATGGCGCTGAGTTTTATGTTGAATCGGGTTTGCTCTTTCGTCAAGTGCCCATTGTCGCGAAATGGCCGCATCAATGATGTTGACAAAGGGTACGCCGAATCTCCAATTAAATGGAATTAACGATCCCCTAGAAGAGGATTGGCATCATCTTGCAGAGAGCTCTATACAGGGTGTTTCACAACTTATCCGACAAATTTTATCCACATATGCACTGTTACGAGAGAAGTTAATTTCCCAAAAAAAAAATGTAATAAAAGTCTTACAGAAATCGAGATAATAAAATAATAGTTTAACAGTTCAATTACTTATACAAGATGTTGAAAATTGTTCCCATTTACTGCAATGCAAAATATTGTATCTTCTATAAAGGGAGAACTGCGTGATTTTTTGAATTACTCTAATAAAATAATTTGGTCCGATATATTATTGGCAAAATACGGAGATAAAAAATCCGAATACATCTTAACCAGTTAGTTGTCTTCGATTGTACAAAAACCTTCAGAAAATTATTATCAGTATCATCACAGAATTTTGAAGAATTTAAATGATGTATTGCAACACATTGCATTGAACGATAACGAAGAAACTGCAAATTTAAAAACTCCTTATTTTAAGAAAGTTGCTTTAAAAACATTTTGTACCGACGTTAATCAACCTTACGGCGTATTTCGAAATAGCTTCCCTTGACGAAACATATTAAGCTCGCACAGCGAACGAGACCTCGGCTACTTACCTTCAACTCTATTAGTTAATAACAATTCTAAAGGTCAAAATAATCGATTGATAATAAACAGTCTTCTCGGCAGATGTTGAAAAACATCATTAAATTATCTTAACTTTTGTTGATAAAAATAATGGGATGCACATAAATTATTTATAAATAAATGTGTTGCTGATTGTTTTTAATTAGAACATACGAGTACTGAGTACTGGTCTTTGGTGGTTTTTCTAAAATATGTTGTTTAAATCGTTGTTAATATTTGTTGTATTAGGAGTTTGTTGTTTAACACAAACTAAAGGTGAGTGTAAAATATTATTATAAATCAAATCAAAACCAAATCAAAATAAATCAAAATGTGTTGAATCAAATCAATCATTCCTTTGGTTGTACTCTTCGATAAGATTCCTCTTACTTCTGCAAGTAAGTTGATCGGTATAATTCATGCGATTACATAGGACGCATCAGTCGAAATAGTTCTTATGATCAGTGTTCTTTGAACATTATACAGCGATTTTCTGTATTTTTTGTATTTTAGAATAGACGCCTATATCTCCGTCCATACAATATGATCGACTGTGCCACATTATTATAGAGCCTTCTCTTCTAACGTCCTAGTCCTTTGATATTCGGTAATATCCTTGTTAGGGCACTCGTCAAGGTCGACACTTTTTTGATGGTCTTTATAAAATGTGTTGTATATGTTTCTTCTTTGTCGGTCCTAACGTACAGATATCTCAAACTATTTGAAACCTGTATTTCCTTACGTTCGACCCGGAATTTTACATCCAGCAGATTCCCTTTAGGATTATAGCCTCTGTCTTATTTACCTCTAATTGCAATGCATTTTCCTTGCTGGTGAAAATGATGAACGTTAATTTGAAGAATAAATAAGTTAGACGTACATTTACATTAACAACATAGTTCATGTGGCGCCCTGTAGAAAATATCTCAAAACGGATATCGTATATTATGATTTCTCATATCTCAAAACATCTGTTTCCAAATTTTCATGTTCGTACATCAAAAAATCTTTCAAATTACTGCGAAAAACCATTTTTTCCATATCAACAATACCATCCTGTATCTTCTTTATTATCATTATTTTATTAAAGCAAGTTTTGAGGCTGAGAATCTTCCACTTCACTTTGGACCATTACATACGGACCACCCTGTGTAAATTAAATAATATTTTTGTTTATCAATACATTTTTATGAGCCTAAAATTGAAAATTAAATTTTATCGATTAATAGAAAAAATTTAATCTTAAGGCCAATAACATTTTTGGGTAGAGAATGAAGTACTTTCCAACGATATATCACAATCCTCTATATCGAATTTAAAAAATTTGGGGTTGACTCGCAACCCCGAACCATTACAGTTAGTACTTCAAAAGAAATATTAGTTTTTAAATTGCATTAGCAAAGTTGGTGGATGCTTAGTTGTGTAATTCCCAATTGCACCAAAGCATTGGGCATTACATAGCAATATTGCTACGTTGCCAGTTGTTATCTTAGTTAAAATGTATCGTAGGTAAAATAACCTTTTTAGAACATGGCGCAACATATTCCAATCTTAAGTAGATCACACATTTAAGTCAGACTTACATAATATATAGGTTGCTCCATTTTTGATCGCAACATAGGTTATATAGGCCATGGGTGCGATAAAGACAACGTCCATTAGACACTTACAAAGGAAAAGGAAAGATTGACATTTGTGTCATTGAAACTTTTCACTCTGACAACTGTCATTTTAATAATCTTTCTTTGTTCCACTCATAGAAATGACCATGTTGCAATCGGAAATGCAGAAAGATATATAACCATAGAGAAAGAAAGATGAGAGAGTTCGATCCTTTACTAAAAATTGGCATAATGTTGATGGTGCTGCCTCTAACTCCGGTCGTCAATTTATCGCGAACTAATCAAGAATGACAGTGTAGATTTCTTCTATATTTAAAAACAAAAAATGGCGGTAAATTTAAATTTTATTTCTATAATTCTATTTTATTTTCTTACATTTGATAATTGTGTAGTCATTCAATAGCCGTTTCTCAAGCAAGAAAAACGACTATCAAATGCATACACAATTTACAAATTGGAATATTTAAATTAATAGAATTAATTGATGTATGTAGAAATTTATTAATTTAAAATTATACACAATACAATTATATACGATAACTACGAAGAAATAAAATTTTACATTAAAAATAAGTACCTACTAATATTTAAAGGAAAAATCACATTTATATCACAGAAGTTACGAAAGGATATTTAGATACACTAAATTTAAATAGAATTATTTTAGTAAAATTGGTTATTTCTAAAGCTATACAACGATAAAGTTGGTCTTATTCCTCAGCTCCCAGGGTCTACACCTTCCAGTTCTTATATCGTACGTTATCTAAAACAAAAAAATATCAGCAGCATCGAATTCAGGGAAAATAGCGAATAGTGAGAAATAGTTGTTAGTTTTTACCATTTTCCCGATAATACAATGACATACAATAATACAATTGGTACAATGGCTCCAAGTGGCAACAAGTTGACAAAAAACATCTGATTTATGATCTTTGCAAGAAAGTGTTCTTTGGTGTTGACATTTTAAATGAGCAAACACAATTAAAAATAAAAAAATATATAATAACTCACCAATTTAGGTTATACACAAAAATGGCGCCTACCTACACTACTCACGAAACTTACGTAAAAAGACCGGCATAAGTGCATAACACAACTCGACAAGAACGGCAAGGAAGACTACCGAACGAAACAAACCGAACATCGCTATCGTTTGCGTTCGAGCATTTATGTGAAATTGTCCAATCAAAAAAATTGAAATATATTTCATTTTTCGATAGCAGCGCCTCTTACGGGGTCTTCAAAATGAATCGTGTAATCCGATATTTCCTATGCTTTAAACAGTCTCTTTTATCTTGTCTATGTATATAACCTACAATTATATTGGTGCAACCGAGCATAAATCTCACGCACCCGGTTCGTATCGTAGAATCCATTTTTTATATTTTTACCCAATTTTTAACACTTAAAATAATTTTATTCTAATTGACCTAAGTAGAAATCGATTTAATTTTTTTATGTAACTCATTGTTTTTAGCTGTCCGCTATACGGTAATATGGAGAGAAAATTGGGACGCCCGTTGGGCCAAAAAAACCCAAAATCTAGACGAAAACCCCCCGCCTTTCGTCGTAATTCATCATTCCGAAACGCCTGAATGTAATAGTACATTCGCCTGCAAAAAGCGCGTGAAGAACATCCAGGAATACCATATGGATACCAAAGGATGGGATGATATAGGATACAATTTTCTGGTAAATCTTCATCTAAATTTTAACTCTGAGAAGGGTCTAATGGGTGAGGATCTTGGAAAGTAGTACTACAAGAGATACTGGTGTACTATTCCTTGTAGGAAGGAGTAGGAAAGAGTATGAATTAGTAGGAAGAAGTAGGAATGAGTAAGAAGGAGTAGGAAGGAGTAGGAAGGAGTAGGAAGGGGTAGGAAGGAGTAGGAAGTTAATTAGTACCTAGTGGAAAGGATCTTAATTTAAAGGGTACTACTACAAGGGGTATCAGTATTTTCTACAATCAACAATCTTCTCTTCTACTGTATTATAAACATATGCAATATATGAATTTATATAAAGCTGTTTATATAAACATGACCTACCTTATTTACATGGATGCGTTCCTCTACTAAAAGTTTTGTAATCAATAATAAATAATAATTAAAACAATTATTATATTATTTGTAATTAATTTTTGTACAAATCATTTCGACAGATTGGCGGAGACGGGTGCGTTTACGAGGGCAGAAGTTGGCGCATAAGAGGGGCCCATTTGCCCAAATACAATGGTCGCAGCATAGGAATCTGTATGATAGGAAGTTTTCAAAGTAAATATCGTGTTTGTTTTGGCTTTATAATAAGTAGAAACCCTCTATACCTCGTACTACTACGTCCTACTCATTCTTACTCCTACCTACTCGTTCCTACTCCTTTCTACTCCTTCCTATTCCTTTCCACTCCTTCCTACTCCTTTCCACTCCTTCCTACTCCTTCCTACTCCTTTCCACTCCTTCCTACTCCTTCCTACTCCTCCACACTGCCGGACTAATCCAATTATGATATGATTTTTTCAGATGTAACGCCTCCGAATTTGCAAATGGACGCTTTGAAGAATTTTATACAAGCGGGCGTCGAACATAATCTAATAAGCCTTAATTACGAATTAATTGGACACAGACAAGGAAAAGCTACAGATTGTCCAGGTGATGCTTTGTTCAATTTAATTAAGGAAATGCCACGATGGTCGTCGAATCCAAAATAAGAAGATTTTGAAAAAGATGCTGATTGAAGAATATGCTGAAGAAGATGCTGTTTTAATTATAGTGTATTTTTATATTTTTTATAGTGTCCATAGCAGATAAATTGATTTTTTATATAATAAATTTAGTTTCACATATATCTACTACCATATCTATCTACCCTACTTATATACCCTACACTACTTTACATTACCCTACATTGCCCTACACTACCCTATTCTACTTTTAAGGAGCATATAACTTTTCTATCGAGCATTCATTTTTTTCTTCAATTTTAAATTCTTTTTTTTCATTGGCAAATCATTTCATTGGCAATAAATCCGTCCAAAATAAAATCAATTCACGTGTTTCAGCGTTTTTTGTTTAAATTACCAGTTCAACCATAGACCTATTAACTATGGGCGCGGTTTAGACAAAGAGGTAGTGTTGTCGATGAATGAGAGAGATGCAGCTAGTTTGGGCAAATGGCAATGAGAGATTGGACAATGCTTTAGCCAATAGTAAGAAAGCAAAAGACCACGTGAGTAACGTTTTCAGATATGCAAGGTAGCTGGGGTAGAGGAGGGCAACTTATGGTAGAATAGGGTTGAGGAGTGCAGCGGAGGGTATTGTGATTTATTATTTTTTTGCCGAGCAAAATGCATTTTTCAGCTGAGCCTAAATTCCCACGCATTTGCAAATATAGTTCTTATTTTGTATTGTTAATTGGAACATCCTACCTATTAGCCAGTACAGATTTCGCAATTTAAGACCTAACTGCTTTTTCTTGTAAAAAATATACTTCTTCCAGGTCATTCTTCTGTCCAAGTGGATACCAAGATAAAAACAATATTTAAATATTAAGCGTATAAATATTTTAACAGATTAATAGCTCTTTTCCACGCTCCCTGTATATATTTTATATTTTTTTTGATCCCGCCTACTTTTAGCCCAAACTAGCTCCATCTCTCACGGACCTCTCTCTCTATCATTGGGAACGCTGAATAACCTCAAAATAACGATAGTGCCGCGTCCATACTTAATAGGTCTATGAGTTCAACAGATAATAATTTTATTCCGGACTTTTGCCCAACCCTGTATATATAGGGTGTCCCATCTAAAATTTGCACCCCCAATATTTCAAGTCTTGCTCAAATTTTTAAAAAATGCCAAAACAGGTCAATTTTAACATTTCGGGGACTGAACTTTAATCGTAGTTTCAAACTTTTTTTTTAATCCCTCTAGCGCCCAGAACCACCCCTTGAAAAACCTTAAATGGTAAAGGGTGTCAAGTAATGCATCATTTTGAAGCTGCTTTCATTGGCCCATATTCAGCGCCTCCGTTTAACTTTAGAGTGACTCTAAAGTCGCGTTTTTAACTTGACAGATTTACATTGTTGTTATGGAGTAACTAAGGACTCGAGACGCGACTTTAGAGTCACTCTAAAGTTAAACAGAAGCGCTGAATACGGGCCATTGTATTTACAACCCCGTAATTTTTTTTTATTTTGAATGTTTCTTTTTGTGAAACAAACGGAATTTTTTAGGATTACTGAAATTTTGGAAATTTTCAATCTTACACATTCCCGTTTAAAATTTGAACAAGTTGTTTTAAAGGTTTTAAATGGAGTGAAACATGTTCTTATCTACACCTATGGTAGTTTTCATTATTTCAAATAACAAAAAAAAAGTTTGATGTATTAACATCAACATTTATTAAAAAGGTAAATTTTTAAGTTTATTCACAGTCCTTGTTGATTATTATAATAATCGCAATTTTTAAAATGGTTTTTATTGTACCGGGTGTCCCACCAGAAGAGGTAACCGGCTGTATATAAGAACCTAATTGATTAAAGGTAAAACCATAAAACACGAAAAATCAAAGACTTTCAGAACGGACATTCATTTTTTCAAAACAAAAATCACCGAAAAATTGTTACGCAAAGAATAAATCTTAATATGGTTTTACCTATAACCGACTGTCATTGCCTTTAACCCAAAGCGTGCTTGTTTTTTTTATTTTCCCCCGGTATGCTTATTTTTTAGTTCTCAAACATTGTGAAATCCAATAATTACTGAATAAATAATTACTTAGCTTGGTGTTCCTAATATCATACTTGAATATTATTAATAAATTGATTGCTGTTCTAAATAGAATAACGCTAATTAGAGACTTTTATAATGGGAGTGTACCAAAAATATACCCAATTTCTAGATATTTTCCTTTTTTTAAATATATTTTAGGTTAGGAATGAGATATGGAGATGCGGTTTTCACAGGCTTGTTTGGCAATTATTTGACTATATTTTTCCAAAGAAAAAGTTATATCGTTGCATTTAAATTATTTGGGAAAATCGGTGTTTTTTAAAGTCATGTCGAAAAACGCCCTCTTGCGGCCAAGCAAATATTTGCAATAATATCTTATATAGCGTAAATTATAGACTGAAGAAAGCCCTTTTCAACGATTTCATTTTTATGAAAATCCGTTTAGCCGTTTAAAAGTTATTAACATTTATTTGTCGCAATATTCAAACAACCCCCACCACTTTATTTTACAAGATAGAGTCAAAAATATAAAACAAAAAAAAATCGCAATTATCCCAAATATCAAAATAAAATAAATTTCTGATACCTTTATTAAGGAAAATTATAAAAAAATGACTTTTCAAAATCAAGATGGCGGATATTCTCCCTAGCGGCCATTTTAGAGACTTAAAAAGTATTTCCAGCATTTTCTTTTTGCCAATTTAGTCATAAGATTTTTTACCGCAAGTCTCTATGACAATATGACCTCTTCTGGTGGGACACCCGGTAAACAAAAAAGAGTTGAATAAGTAAAGCTGTACTATCAAAATAATGAATGGGCCAGTGTTGATGCTAGACTGTTTAACCAAAATCGTGTGGAATACCAAGTAAGTTGTCAGTATGTTGCACATTTCATTAAAAATTTAAAGAAATTGGCTCTGTTTTAAGCAAAAAACATGATCGTGAATGTCCTATTAGAAATGAAGTAGATGAAGTAGCTGTTCTTGGCCATCTTCTATTGCATAAAAGGCAATCATTGAGCAAAATCGCTCATGTATTTGGTGTATCAAAAAGTAGCGTTCAGTGGATTGTCAAAAAATATAAATTTCATCCGTACAAGATGATAATAGTTCAAGAATTGAACGAAGATGATCCGGATCGACGTTTACAGTTTGCCGAAAATTTCACTCAGCGGTTGAATGATGACGCAGGTTTACTTTACAAAATTTGTTTTTACGATGAAAGTACGTTTATGTTAAATGGTGAAGTCAACAGGCATAATTGTCGTTATTGAAGTGATTTCAACCCTCACATTATCAGAGAAGGTCAAACACAAACACCTCAAAAATTGAATGTTTGAGCTGGCATTCCGGGCGACCACATTATCGGGTCGCTTTTTATTGATGGAAATTTGAGTAGTGACATTTACATGGACTTGTTAGAAGACCTTATTGATCCCTTAATAACCCAAGCACTGGAAGATGATGCAAATCTTCATGAAAACCAGCTATTTTTTCAACAGGATGGAGTTTTTTTTTTTTTTTTTTTTTTTTTTTTTTTTTTTTTTTTTTTTTTTTTTTTTTTTTTTTTTTTTTTTTTTTTATGCACACGACTCGGGAAAAGACGAAGCTTATAACGCCTGTTCAGGCGCCCCGAGGCGTTTTTAGTAGGTAATTGTTAATGTTGGTCTTAAACCTCTGAAGGTCGTAACCAACTGGGAACACTTCTGATGGTAGTGTGTTCCATAGTGTCGCGGTTCTGTACAGAAAAGATTTCTGATACATAGAGGTCCTAGCTGTTGAAATGTGTACGGCAAACTGGTGTGTGCTCTCCGCTAGCCTTGTAGAACGTCCAAAGTGAGCACCAGGTGGAATAATGGAAGCAATGGCTGCAGAACACCTTCCGTGGTAATATCTGTAAAAGAGACTTAAGTCGCTAACCCTTCTACGATGGTCTAGTGTATGAAGGTTAGAGGTTAATGAGGGGTCATCAACCAGGCGCACTGCTCTTTTTTGAATGGAGTCTAGTAGGTGCAAGGAGTGCTTAGGAGCAGAACTCCAAGCATGAGAGCAATATTCCAATGCTGGACGAACTTGAGCCTTATAGAGTAACAGAAGCTGCTTTGGTGTGAACATTTTTCTGGCACGAAATAAGTAACTAAGCTTCTGGGCGGCTGATTTAGCTATGGTGGAAACATGTTCATGCCAGGTTGCATTTGAATTAATGCTGACCCCTAAAAGATGTAATTTATTAGTTGTTTTAATTGTTTGGTTATTCAATGTTAGTTGGGGTATGACGGAGGACGTCTTTCTTGTAAACATGGTTGCCTGGGTCTTGGAGGCGTTGAATTCAACCAGATTATCGGATCCCCACTTCAAAATAATTTGAAGGTCGTTGTTGATGGACTCAGCTTGCAAGAGCCTTTGGCGACTTGATTTAGATGCACTGACAGGTCTCTTGTTTGTAGTGGATGCTATGAGAGTGCTATCATCTGCGAAGCTGAGAATTTTGTTTTTGGTTGAATTTAAAAGATCATTTATGTGAATTAAGAATAGAGTTGGTGATAAAATCGATCCTTGAGGTACACCAGCGTTCAAAGAGTAAGGATCTGAAGTTGCACCGTCAACCACAACTTGAATTTGTCTCCTATGCAGAAAGCTCTCTATAAGTCCGCATAGTTTTTGGGGCAGACCGTAGGATGCCAGCTTAGATAGCAGTGCTTTGTGCCAAACCCGGTCGAAGGCCTTAGATATATCTAAAGCGACCGCTATTGATTCTCCGTGGTTCTCGATAACACTTGTCCAAATGTGTGTAACATAAGTGAGCAGGTCACCTGTTGAGCGACTGTGTCGGAAGCCGTACTGGTTGTCACTTATGAGACCATTCTGTTCTGGAGTGCCTCCATACTATGATGTACGAATTCGCAACTTTTTGGATGCTCATTTTCCCCGACAATGGATAGGCCGTAGAGGACCTATCGAATGGCCAGCTAGATCGC